TTATTTCCAGTGTTTTTTTAATGTTTTAACTAGACCGTTTAGCCATGCACTGTAAAAAAATGCAGGGTTCCACACATTTCATTCATGTTGTCCCAACCCAAATCGATTAAGTTAACTCAACACTTTTAACAAAGTTATGTGGATTGAACATAAAAACTAAGTGGTCCTAATGAATTTTTAAGAATTGTGTTGATTCAGCTCATTTTATATAAGTTTTTAAATTTTAAATAATATAAAAATTTGAATTTAAGTCTGAAATTTCCTTCATAACGGTCTTAAAAAGGCCTTAAAAAGTCTTAAATTTGACTTGATGAAACCCTGTATTTAGACAGAAACCAAATTCTCCTCATTAAGGTTCTACAAAGGGTTTTCTTGAACCAAAAAGCCTCTTGTCAACAAGGCTGAAATTGACTAAAAACAAGTGTACTATGATTCCAAAAAGTCAGCGATGTCTGTCAAGATTTAATGTAGTGTGAATTATTGATATGAACACTGCATTCATCAAACCACAGTAGGACCCCATCATCCACCAATCCATTTAAAACAGAAAACATTTCTTCACTTAATGCTCTGTCAGTGGTTTTCTAGGAAATCGTCAATGTGTAATGTTGTCTAAAGCTACAGTAAACGGAACTGATGTACGCATGTTTTATTCAGATTTATGCCGCTTGTTGCTTGAGTGTTGTCTTGTGAACAGAGGAGAAATTAATTAAACAAGACTTAAATGTTTTTTTTTTTTAGGAACAAACCGTTTCCATCCATTTTATTAATAAAAAATAGAACTACTTGCACAAGCACACTGAGAGAACAGTACAGTAATATTGGAACAGTTTCCTCTGCAAAATGAAGAAGCGCAGAAGCATCCACCAAAATATAAGCTGCATTTACCCAATAAGGAGTCTTTAAACTGGCCACCGAACAAAATCGAGGGCCTAACCGCTTCGTCTGAATCATTAGAAACTTTTTGTTTTCACTAGCGTGCTAATAAACAAGCTGCACCATAACAATATATGAATAGCGTATCTTTATAGTTACAAAACCTCTATTTGTAATACTATCTACAGGTCATCGTCTTCATTCGTTTCAGTGTGTCTTCCAGCATGTTAAGCTAACAAAAAATAAATTGCTTTCAAATGAGGTTACACAATTAAAGGTGTAAATGTTTGTCTTCTTATAAAGAAGGTTTCCTGTGAGCATGCTTGGGTGTTGAAGAGTGCTCTCGGTAAATGAACAGTGGGGATCTTTGCAGAGCTTTGATGTATGTGGAATCCCAAAGCACAATTTAAAAGAGTCGAGCCTGCCCTGGCGAAACCCGAACAGTTAATCATCTCAGAGTCTTTGTGCTTTGACATTTTAAGGGAAATCCCGAACGTGAGTGTTATTCTATGATCTTCCCATTCCCATCTTTCCCTTTGGCAAGCGGAACAGTACACCTGTACATACATTAGCAAAGACGTCTCGAGTTTGGCACATTCACAATTGTAACTTTTCAGTGTATTATTTACTTTTGGACAGTAGGAGGAGTGGTTATTGCGTTCGGAGATGGGCGTTAATGTCCAGGAGTTGGCACGGTCTGCTGAGGAGGGCGTAATCTGCCCTAGGGGGCAGCGCAAAGCCTGTGCGCCCGCTCAGCGTGCCTGCAGTCACCTGCAGGGGGCGAGCTGGGCTCAGCCATCTGCTTGCCTGTGGGAATCTGCTTGAGAGGAAGAATGCGCCGTGCCATCCATCACTGCCAAAGCTCTTTTTGCCAGAGCAGAACAACACTGAAATTGCATTCCTCCCTTCAGCAGCATAGAAACGCATGACTGCATCCAACACACACTTACTCAACTCTTGGCACAATGCAGGGGAGGGGGGGGGGTGGGGCATGCTTATGAGGGGGTGTTTGCGTGTACATGCATTGGCACATTACATGCGACTGTTCTGGCTGTCAGAGGTGGCATCCATAAGGGCTCAGGGAAAAATGGGATTCGATGTGAGCATGAGAGTGTGACGTTTCTCACTTTTGGAGGATTATTAGTGTCACTTCTGACATGCTTACCGTTTATTAAAGACAACAAAACTCTCTTCAGTTGCGAGAAGCGTGTGAAAAATAATGTATTTACTTGAGGAACACATTTGCTGTAGCAGCACCACTGAAAAATCCCAGTAAAGGCCTGCTCACACCAAGCACAATCACTCTACTCCAGGGATGGGCAAACTTGATCCTCGAGAGCCGGTGTCCCTGCAGAGTTTTGTACACTAGTCAAACACACCTGAACATGCTAACCAGTGTCTTTAAGATCACAAGAAATCTATAAGCAGGTGTGTTTGATTAGGGTTGGAGCTAAACTGTGCAGGACATCGGCCCTCCTGGACCGAGTTTGCCCACCCCTGCTCTACACTATCAGAAATAAGAGCCGGATTTCACGAGGAAACGTAAGTATTTGACATTTTGTCAGTTTAGTGGCTAATGCGTACAAGTTCAGTCGTAGGGAAATGTACGATTTTAAAAAGGAGGCGTGGCACCCAACCCCACCCCTAAACCCAACCGTCATTGGGTGATGAGCAAATCGTACTAAATAGTATAAATTAGATTGTGCGAATTCATACGAATTAGCCACTAAATCAAAAAGTTACGAATTGCCAGGGCCAGACGGTATCTGCGGAAGTTTTTTGCTTTTTCTGTGGAGAATTTTGCTAAAAATCTGCGGATTTCTGCGGAATTATTTTAGGAGTATCCAGCGGAGTATCATAACTTAGACCTTAATATATTAAATAAAAAGTAATAAATTACTGAATAAAAACTGAATTAATTCAGAATTACACATTTACTCAAGTAAATAAACAGATTTAATGATGGGCTAAAAATCTGCGGAAAATCTGTAAAAAATCTGCAGAATTCTGCGCGCGCAGATTCCGTGTGGGCCTACGAATTGCCGTGAGATTGAGCTGTCACTGGGGTGGTACATTTTTGAATGGTACATATTTGTATCTAAAGGGTCCTTCTTAATAACTCAAGGGTACATATTAGTACCTAAGAAGTACAAAAGAGCACCTCCTAAAATTTTTAAGTACTAATATATACCTTTGAGGTACCAATATATATATATTATGCATTTGTAAATAGAGAATTAATTAAATGTTAAGCATTAACTCTACATTAATAGATGATAGTAAGCAGCACAAATCACAGCAGTTTATGATACAAATGCTCTATTCTTGACCTTTAAGTAGGGTCAGACAGAATCTGCTATTCCTGCGCAGAATATTGTTGAAAATCTGCGGATTTATGCGGAATGATTTTGGGAGTATCGTTACTAAGAACGTAAAGAAATAAACTATAATACCTTTTTAATTTGTATTTAATGTTTACAATGTAAATGCAATTGCATCCACTTTATTTGTTATACAAAGCAAGTCTCTCATATAATATCTGTACTAAAATGATTACTTTACAAACTGTATTGTAAATAAATCATATTTTATAATACTTTATAATAACTACACACTATGAATCATTTATTAAGCATTGGCATCTAGTGAATCCCTTATCTGTTAAGCATTAACTCTACGTTAATAAGCGTTACTTATTTAACTGCAGCTACAAATGCTGTATTCTTGACTTATAAGCACATTTATATTGTGCTTGATAATTGTACTTTCATACTTTGTTAATGATTTATTTTTCATTACTAAATTTAGTATTGCATTATTGGTAAAACTTTACAATAAGGTTCATTAGTTAATGCATTTACTAACATGAACTAATCATGAACAACACATGTACAGCATTTATTAATCATAATTAAACATTTACTAATGCATTATTAACATTCAAGTCCATGCTTGTTAACATTAGTTAATGCACCATGAGTTAAATATATATCCCTAATAGATGACAAGTAAATACTCAGTATCAAATGCACAATAATCTTTGCAATCTCATCTAAAAAGTAAAATTACTGTAATGTTTAAACACTGCAGAGTAACAGGAGTCTCAAAATAGAACATAAAATTGCATAAAACCACAACAATATAATAATCTAGCAATATATTATGATACATTTCAATGTTATTCAGCTATGATTTAACTGTACAGCAATTTTATTTTAGTTAAGATTGCAAGGATTTTTCATTTGATACGGTTTCATTTGTGTATCCTCAAATTAATAGAAATGAGTAAAGTTATATTTTCTCTTTTTTCTGTTTAGAATATAGGAGTCTTTAATTGTCATTTATTAGGGATTTATTTAGCATGAATAGTTCTCGCTTTAGATTAGGAGGAAGAATCAATAAAGCATTTGTTTACATAGAAATTAACTAATAATATATGCCTGAATAATACGAATTATAAATGTTAATTTATAACAGTTTATTAATCATTTACTAACTCATTCTGAATAATATTTAAAAACCAGCAACTTCTCTCGAATTACGGGTTTGTATATGATGCAATACTTAATTTAGAAATGAAAAAATAATCAACAAAGTATGACCATACAATCAATAAGCACATTATACAGTTAAAGTCAGAATTATTAGCCCCCCATTAAATTTTATTTTAAATATTTCCCAAATGATGTTTAACAGAGTAAGGAAATTTTCACAGTTTGTCTGATAATATTTTTTCTTCTGGAGAAAGTCTTATTTGTTTTATTTCGGCTAGAATGAAAGCAGTTTTTAATTTTTTGAACATCATTTTAAGGTTAATATTATTAGCCCCTTTAAGCTATATTTATTTTCGATAGTCCACAGAACAAACCATCGTTATAGGATGACTTGCCTAATTACCCTAACCTGCCTAGTTAACCTAATTAACCTTGTTAAGCCTTTAAATGCCACTTTAAGCTGTATAAAAGTGTCTTGAAGAATATCTAGTCAAATATTATTTACTGTCATCATGGCAAAGATAAAATAAATCAGTTATTAGAAAAGAGCTATTACAACTATTATGTTCGAAAATGTGCTGAAAAAAATATTTTCTTCGTTAAACAGAAATTGGGGAAATAATAGGGGGCTAATAATTCTGACTTCAACTGTATATCTGCCTTTAAGTCAAGAATAGAGCATCTGCAGTTATAAACTTACTAACATCTACTATTGTAGAGTTAATACATAACAGATAATGAATTAACTATGTGCTATTGCTTAATAGATGATTCATGGTGTGTAGTTATTATAAAGTATTACCAAGATGATTTAAAGATAATGACCATCTAGAAAACAATTGGTTATATCATGAGAAAGAATGATAAAAATATCAATATATATATATATATGCAAGCCAGGCTAGCAAATTGATTGATATATAAATTAAAGTATCTCATGTGTCCAGTTCAGATGAATCCTTTAGAAATGCTGGGATTAAAATAGTTTGTTAAATTAGTTTAATTTAATACATTTAAATAAAAGAGTCACTGGTCAGACGCTCTAGTTGCACACTGAAAGCATCTGCCGCTTATTAGAGGTTAATATTTATTGTTAGTATTGTTTATAGTTACTCTGCTTGGTGTGAATGGGCTCAAAATGGGTTTAATGGTGCTAATCTGTCGCTCTCGCTCTTGAAATTGGCAGATGATGTCTGTAAACGCTAAGAATAACCTTGTGATATTTATTAAATATTAAATAAAGGAGACTCTTGTAGGTGACGATCTGCTAATGCATTTAGAGGCAAATGTTTAAATTTGGAGAGAAAGAAACATTACTCTGAAAAAGCCGAATTTGCTGTGAGAGTGGGCGTTAGCACACAGTTTCATTCAAATTTAGCCAACTAAAAATATTGTTAATGCAATTATCGATTGAGTTAGTCAGCAAGTTAGTGACTGAGGCTTTGTCCCCAGACACCAATCCTCAGCTGTTGGCTGGAGTGATTCATGACAGCCTCCAGCCCATCCTAGATAGGACCGCCATCCTCAGAGTAGGCAGAGAGGTACGACCTCTACACAATACACGCATCTGGGTGTCGAATCCCGTTTCCATGGCAGTGAGTGGGAGCGTGAATAAAAGCACACATGCAGCACAGTATAAGCGTTGGTGCGAATGGAGCGAACGGCATGCCCTGAGCTGAAGACTGCTTTCTGTTGTCTAGTCTGAAATCTGAAAGTGTTGTTTCGTTGGACATATGAAGGGGCAGTCTCCTCTCAGCCTTTATGGATTTCCCCGGCCATCCCTACTCACTCGCTCCTCCCACTTCTCTCCAAACAGTTTGGGCGGTTTATGTACTAGAGCTCTTTAGGCACAGGCTATATGGCTACAATTCAGGCATTCCACTGCATTATGCACAGGCTCCAGAAAGCATGCTTAGGCAGAATATCAATCATGTCAGTCTATCAGCTACCAAAATAAGACAAGAGGTTTCATTAACACAACCATTACTCAAGTAGGAGGGGGTGAGGGGGGGGGGGGGAGCAAAGAACCTCCCAAACAAGGGCTCTCCCATACCATTGCCTCTTAGAGACATATTGCCATCTTACGTTAAACAGAGGTTATCAAACGATTGTTAGCAGCTAAACGATTGCTTCGTAGATCTTTGGGAAGGGGGGGACGGGGGGGATTCGAAACAGCAGAAACATTCCCTTGTTGCTAATTAGTTCCCAGAGGAACGCTTTAATAAGGTTTAATAGGATGCTGGATATGTGCATGTATTTATCTCGCTCAGTACTTCACACCACTTTCGCTGTCGCTACTGCAGCGTTTCTGCTACCTCGGTATTCACAATCCGTCTGTTCCAAGACATTGCTTCAGGGAAATACATCTCCCGTTTGTGCTTCCTGATCTTAAAAAGGAAAGAGACCGAAAGGTTTGAAAGTTGCAGTCCCTCCTGCCCTTTCATGTTGTAATCACGAGAGCCAAGAGGTTGAGTGGCAGTGCATTGCGCTTGTCTCGCACCTGAACTGTTTGCACTCTAGACGTAGTCCTGCAGACTGTAGCCAGTCTTGTTATCCAGCGGCGAGAGAGAGCAGTACTGGTGCTGGAGCTGATCCTGCTGCTGCTGCTGCTGCAGCAGTTGCTGTTGCTGCTGCAAAAGGAGTTTGTCAGGAGGGAGAAGTATCAAATCCTGAGGGCCGTGCCGCTTGCCTGAACAGGACAGACAGAAAATGGACCCACCCACGAACAGGAAACCAGACGAGATGAAGGCTACGTAGACTGCGCCCCCTGGCTCGAACTTGTTGCTTTCGGGCACATTGGCGTCAAGGAAGCTAACAATAACCTCGTTTGTGTACCAAGAAGCGGGAACGAGGCAGAGGAAGCCAGAGGCCAGAAAGCAGGTGCCCGCTGCCATAGCAGCGTGGCGTTTAGCACGCCGTCCTCCACCCCAGCGGGTGCACTTCAAACCCAGAGAGGCCAAACACAATCCCAGGGCTGCCAACACACAGGAAAGAACCATAGTGGTGCGTGCCGTCTGCAGGTATGCGGGCAGTGCCAGCACAGAGTACTTCAGTGTACAGCTGAACATGCCAGTGCTGTACCAGGTGCAGTCCATCCACAGCCCCTGCATCTGCGAGATGGCAGTGATGATGTTCGAACCCACGTCCGCGCTCACCTTCCAGTTGGGCAGTAACGTGGCCACGGTGGCACCTAGAATGCCGAGCAATGCCAGCACAAAGGCGAAGATCTGCGTGCCCGTGGACGCCATCCTGCCACGTTTCTTCGCCCGGCCAACATTCACACAGGCTTGCCTAGTCCCCTCTCCTTCGGCTGCAACTGCAATGGCAGAGACTCCTCAGCACCGCCGCCTGCCTGAAGAAATAAGTGAGAGAATTAAACGAGTGTCCTCCTCCCCCAGTGCACTGGGAACAAAGAGAAGCGTGTACACATGATGATAAGGAAGCAGGTTCCTGACTGTGATTTTATTGCAGCTCTGCCTTTCCTGTTTATGCCTCATAGCCGTGTCTAGAATGGAGAACTGACTCACTGGCGGAGTGACAACACGTTCAGGCATTGTTATGATAACTGGAGTCAGACTCAGTTTTTTTCCTCCTCCTTACAGTCAAGTAAATTAAAGTATCATTTCAGCACACAACTTAAGCACATTCCTCATTCGTTTAACTAAGGAAAGCACAGAAATATTTCAGTCTATGAGTCAGAGCGGAGGCTGAACGGTGTGTTATAACGCGGAGCGGAATGCAGAAAGCTTGTCCTTACCTCGGCTGGTGCAGAGCGAGCTATGACGCGTCAGGTTTCCAAACGCACGCATACACATAACCGCACGCACTGCTAAACACATAAACAGAGTATAAATGGCCGCAGATGTATCGTTCGCGATCCGTCCATGTTCTCCGCGTCTTCAGCTTTGAGAGGACACGAGCACGATGCTGTTTTCAGAGCTGCGCGAGTGATGCTCTACGTCACGCAGCAGCGATCTCTCAACTTCACGTGCTGGAAAGTCTGTTATGTGCTCCTGATGCTCTGACGGCGATTTAAGTCGAAGTTTACATGTTGTAAGCTTTTTGATGAGGTGTTTTGAACGTTTTAACTTTTTCCCCCGATACATTCTTGTCTTTAAATGTAAAGGATTTGATTTGTTTATGTTTTACTAGCCCATATTACATGATTTTGCTGCTTAGATTAAACGTTTATTGAGTAGATAAACTTAACGGATAAAAGCAGGGCTCTGGCTAGCTATAATCCAGTAATAACGAATGTTTTTGTTGCTATTGTTTGTTTGAACGTGTAATCTAAAATACTTGTCCCTAATTCTGTTTTTCATTTTGCTAATTTAACCTTAAATAATTATTTTAGTAGTTTTAAATTATATATATATATATATAGTAAAACTACTAAAATAATTATTTAAGGTTAAATTAGCAAAATGAAATAATAATAATAATAATATATATATATATATATATATATATATATATATATATATATATATATATATATATATATATA